GGCCCGTGGTAAAATAAGTTTTTTTTATGGCCCGAAGTATTGGCCCCCCCCTGGCTTATACTAACCATGATAAACAAACACTTATCAAAAAACTCACTGTAAAATTGTTCATTAATCTTCCGATAGATTCCACAATGAAATGAGCACTAATAAATTATAAATTAACAGTCTTGTATCATGGGTAGAAAATAAATGGATCTGTTTTAAATGATAAGCGATAAGCACGATGCCTCGACTAATGGCAATGGGGATTAATTTTTATGTACTTAGATAGATTGTAGAATTTTACTTCTCGGAACAATTCATATCTACACGACCATCAAACACGTAGTTAGACGGACAAAAAGTTATGGTTGCATGTCGCCATTGAAACCCACAGGTCGCCGTGCTATAAAATATGTATAATGTATATTATAGAATATAGATACCTATATAATTATTAATTTATACGTAAACAGTTTATTTTTGCTGATTTGAATCCCTTAAAATCAAAATTTTGAAAAATCCTTTCTTATTGGAACTTGACATTACGATATTAATCTATTCTCCAAATTTAAATTCGAGAACTCAACTAGGTTCCGCTCTGCGTTGTTTATTGCTAAAGTACACTTTCCTTTATATACATAGAGATATAATTGCATGAGTCGATAATGAGAACCACAAATTCCTTCGAGTCGTTTCATTTGCATTTTAATTCTGTGTGTACACAGCTCATTCAAATATTTATTAGTCAATAGAAGTTTTCAAAAACGTACAAATCGGCACATATTATATTAAAATGAGAAGCTCAGAAATATTGAAAAAAGGAACTGCAATAAAGAAAAATGTATAAATGACAAAATGAATGAAAAAGTTCAAGAATAATTAACCCACCTATACGATTTCGTGAATTAATGTCTTATGCATTTTTACCAACACTCTTGTAATTTTTTAAACAATATTTTATTTTATTTCTATTATACAATATGTATTTTTCATGTTCAGTTTATAACATTTTTAATATTTTTTCTTGGTATTGTACCTGCGTGTTATTGCGGGTATTCATTATTACCCGAAATTCTAATCATTTATATTTTTAATGCCAAAGAAACTAAAAAAATACTGTAAAAAAACATTTAAAAAAAATTAGGTAAGTACATAACTAGTGTAGTACCTGTAAAATGCCCTGACCCAAATAGCATAACAATTTTTAATTACTTCGTAAATATTTTTATTTGAAAATTATAAACTGATTTTTCATACAATACTACAATAGTAACCACTAACCGCGTGTCTATACACTCTACTGAGCATAGCAAAACTAACAAACGTATATAAGGAGTTATAACACGAGTTATAGACTTGGTATATACAAAAGTCAAAAAACTTGGACGAAAACATTTTTTTTTGGAAAATGCACAAGCACAACAATGGAGAATGAGAGAGTATGAGGCGGTTTGGGCGCCTTTACGACTTAGGTACTCGGTACGACGGTAACATGCGTATCTAGTGATTAAATGGTACTATGGCTTCTCACGGCTCTCAGTGTCGACAGTTGAATATTTAATACTTGGTAACTTGAACGCACGACAATAAGGAATAACAGCACCAAAATAACCATTGATGACTGCTGTAGGAATATGACTAGCCATTGGCTAGGGGAGTAGGATATTGTCGTATACGCCACGCAAACGCTTGACGTATGTAACAGATATGGTTCGGTTTCCGATTCTCTAACCGTCAAACAAGTAAATTATCGATACCTGCTGTATGAACTTTATTTAAATTATTCTTTTGGTGACCACGATGACGAGTACTGGATGTTTGAGAGTGAGATATCTTTAACCTAGGCAAAGTCTTACTCTTTATCGACTGACCACGATAACGAGTACTGGACGAGAAAGTAAGTATTACAGTGTCTATTACTATCTTTTCAAAAGTGTTTTCCACCACCAACGTCTCTTTACACACAAGATAAAATACTCTAAAATAGTCGTAAAGAAAAACAGTAACACTTGGTTAAAAGAATTAAATATAATATATAAAAGAATATCAAAAAAACAAATAATAAAAAAGAAACGTCAAATACTGCTCGTTAGCCACGACAATGCGTGAACCAAAAACTGAACAACCCCGCTCCCGTCGCAGACGTCGCCTTATGTAGTCGTAGCAATTTTGCTGATTCGGCTTGATTAAATTTTGCATCATTGTTTTGATTTTTATAATTTTATTATGTATATGTACAACAATATGCATGTATTTTGTTATATGGTTGTCAATCAATAACCGTTGTAATTACCATGTAGTCAACCGACCACGTTAACGTCCGTACTAAACGTCTATTAATGTATATGCTTTGCCTATCTGCATCCACAACATTCCATATTACGCAGTGAAATAAGCAATATTATTTCTTATTCTGCGGTGTATACTGTCACTATAACGCATAAAATAATTACCTATCGTATTTACAATAATAATAACTCTACAGTTTACAAGAAACTAGAACGCACAACGTAAATTTTAACCAGTGTGGAAGTGACTCAATAAACAATTTTACGTTATATTATAATACAACGCTTTTCAAATCTGTCTTTTATATGTTATTTTTTATTTATTATTTATTTTATATTTAACACTGCCAAGAGTAAGCACTCAGCTGAGAAGGGGTTTGGGATTGATAGATTAAGAATTTAAATACCTATAATATACATCAATAAATTATACTGCATTATTTATTATTATAAAAATTATTTGCATTTTTCATCAATAGCTCCTCTGTTATAAGTAAAATATATATGAAGAGTATATCTGGTATGTACAGTAGAAGCCGCTTATTAGAAACACTTTGGGACCAAAGTGAAATGTGCCAATTGACCGATTGTTCCTAATAAGCGATTATGGTTTGATTTGTACCACGAAAAAAAAAAATGAAAAATGCGCGAAAAATGTATGTTTAATTTAAAAAAATTACATATGTACAAATGTATATATTTTTGGAAGCACATCGTGTGATTTTAATAACTTGAACTTCTGTTTAGAACTTAAACCTTGGCGTTTAGACATTTTTAGAATAACGAAACACTTTTAAACCACCTTTACGTACGCACGCCGAAGCTAAACCAACGATACTTATAGAAAAGAGCATTCTTATACATCGTATAGAACGTACTGCACTTAAGATAGTATATTCCAAATATAAACGTAACGATAGCAAAGATTAAATTACATTGGTTATCGCACGGACAAATGGTGAATACCTGCATGTGTTGCCTCTGTCTTACAAGTGCGTAACATACCAAATTTTACGCTCAGCAGAACACGTGTAGCTCCGTTAGTTTAAAAATTAGTGCGAATTGACCTCTTATAAAATCTAAAGGTAAGATTATTATCTAGTCAACCTCGTAGGTTTTTTATTATATTTTAATTTTAACGCGAGTTATGGGTATTTTAAAATTGTAAATTTTTTATACATCTTAAAATACTTATAACTCGCGTTAAAATAAAAATATAATAAAAATCCTATGAGGTTGCCTAGATAATAATCTTACCTTAAGATTTTATAAGAGATCAATTCACTTTAATTTTTAAATTAACGGAGCTACACGTGCTCTGCCGAGTGTACAATTTGCTATGTTACGCACTTGTAAGACGGAGACAAAACATGCGGGCTCTTATAACAGCCCTCCCAATTGTTTCAAATACCTAACCGATGTGATGTTTCAATAATCCGATTTATTTTCAATGTTCTAATATAAGGCCGGTCCGCCCCTGTACATTTTGTTTCAATACCGCGATTGTATCAATTATCTGTGTTTCTAATAAGTGGCTTCTATACTGTATATAAATATATCGATCGTATTTAACTGCAGCAGGTAAAATAAATAATATGAACTATATAACTATATATATATATATAATAATAGGTACTATTAAAACAAAAAACGTTTATTTTAACTATAATTATTAATTATATATATAGCAACCGAAACAGCGGGCTCGTTGGAAATATATATTATAATATTCATAATATTATTATTAAATATATTATATGATATAAATTCTACTAATATACGTACCTACATAATATAATATACTTATAAATTATAATATATATTTAAATTGAATATTAAACATTTCATTTTTAATGAGCACAGAATTGAAATTAAACTATTAATATAAATATCAAGTTAATGTTTGATTTTCAAACTTTAATAATTATTAATCTTAGTAAGTTAAATAAATGTTAAATATTAAAACTTCTACAGTTGAAAATTTGTATTAACATTTAAATATTTTTTCTCGAATACTTATTAATTCTTATATATTCAACATTACAATTATAATATAAAAAAAGCTCCACTCGGAATCTAAAGTTAAATAACTATTCAATGTTGGATAAAGTTTTAATTTTAAATATTTAAATTCCAATCAAAATTAAACATTCATACAATCGTCATGATTGACAAATGCTGTGTGTGTGTCGTATCGCGCCCTTAAGAAAGTATCTAATGCAGTCTTACGTGTAAAATATACATTTTAACTAGTTAGGGTCTAGAATAATAACTTAAATACTTTTCTTAGTATAAGTTTTATAATCTCAAAACAAATAACTAAAATATTTATATTTATTATAAATAAATATAAATAATAATAATAATTAGGTACCTACATTTTGATATTTTCAATTTTTTTATGAGGAACCATATGATACCTAATGTTCTTTTTTTTTTGTTGACCAATAATATCAGTATTCTATGTACATTTCATCATAGTTCGGAAATATTTACAACTATAGGTAACCACGATAACGAGCTTTAATATTTTCAAGTACATTTATCAGAATCACTATTTACAATAATAAAGTATGAATTTTAAATTTAGTTGACTACTTTGATTCTATTCTTAGAACATTTAAAGTATTTAGGTTTTTGATCTCTTTGTGATTAAAATAAATCTCATTGATTATGATAATTTGTAAATAATACCTGGATGTATTATTTATTGATTTTTAAGTGAGCATGGATTTCAGCAAAAGTAATTTTTTTTTAAAAACAAAAAAATGCTCTTGTAGTTTTAATTATTCAAAACTTTTACATATAAAATCCTTAAATTATTTTCTAAATAAATATTTTTTAAGTTTGTATATCATCTATTATTTACTTATAATATTAAATCATAATTTTATAATTAATTTACAGGAGCCAAAAGTGAGCCCGATGATCCTGAAGTCAGCGCAATGGCTCACAGAATGAAACAAAAATTAAAAAAAATGGCAGCAGCTGCAGCAAAAAAACAAGCTTCTTCTCCGGCAAATTGTTATATAAACAGAGCCGGTAAAAGAGTGCCTATGGCTAATGCACCAATTAAAAAGAAGGAAACACAAAATAATAACCAAGAAACATTACCTACAGTTTGTGAAGATATAGAGAGTACAAAAGGTAAGCAATCAGTAATTAATTCATGTTTTCAAAATTTCTAAAACACTCTATTTTATGTTCTTTTATGCAATATAGGTAGATTTTCTTGGAAATTGATTGAAGGATGTAACATACCCTGTATCAAACGAATAATTAACGGTGAACATTTAATGTTTGTATCCGTACGGATGGCTGAAGCTCAGCTACTCAGCAACTATATAAATTATTTACATGCAGATATTTATACGTCATGCACATCAATAAAAGGTCATTTTATCACTGACTCTGAAGCTAAGTTATTAAATACCATCAATGAAACACATACTGACTGTTTATACGGAAAAAAAATGTTTGTGGCGGGAAAAGATTATATTGTTCGTTTAGAAGATATTATTGAATTTCGGACATTTATAGAATTGTCCTATAAAAACATACAAAGGACTGGTGGACCAAATGAAAAATTCGGTTTCATAAAAATTGATTCTTCATATTCTGTTGTACCATATTGTGTTAAAGATAGCCAAAAATATGTTCCACTATTTTTTTTTGAGGGCAACACAGAACGCTTTGATAATCGCGGTATACAATTCGAAAATTGGGACTTGACTTATATTAAGTTCTGTTTTATGGTTCAGGGTATCAGAAATGACTTATTTGCCAATAGCTCATGCACAATGATCAATCTTAATGAAATCAAGAGTTGTTATCCAGAAGAAACGAGTTTTGAAGAATATTGGCCCAGTAATATCATTGATTCAGAGCTTTCAGGTCGCCTAACTAATCAGTCTAACCATGACCATCCATCAGGTGTATGGATCATACCACCCTCTGAAGAACCAGTATCAACTGGAAATAATATTCCTCAAACATCAACCGCACCATCACCTGAAGTAGAAGTTATAGAACCACAAGTGAATATGGTCAATAATCAAAACGGATTCACAGGAAAGCAAGAGGTATGCATTAAGTACTTAGTATATCAAATTGCTTTTATATTTTTGGTTCTTCAAAAAAACTGTTGCTTGTATTTTCACAGTGTATTTAAATGTATTATTTATGTTATGCTTATAATTATTTGTAGTATTAAGAGGACGCCACATCCACATGTGTGTTGTCTCCGTCTAGGCGTTACAATGCGTAACATAGTAAATTTACGTTCACCAGATCACGTTTAGTACCGTTAGTTTACAAATTAGAGTGAACCGATCTATTATTAAACTTGATGGCATTGGTTTTTTGAGATCGGTCAATTTTTTAGCAAAATTATGAGTGTGTGATATATTATAGTAAATTAAAAATGCTCATGATTCAGTTAAAAATTGAACTACCATAAAAACCAAGACAGTAATACCAAGTTTCATAATACATTCACTCTAACTCTTAGACTATAGGTATAAGACGTAATCTGCTGAACGTAAATTGGCCATGTTATGTATTTGTAAAACGAAGACAACACATATTATGCGGGTGTGGCGTCCTCTTAATAATACACTCGGGTATGGCGTTTTAATAACTATTAAATATGAATAAATAGATAGTTAATAATTAATAGTAAATATCATTTAATATTTCTATATTTTTTAACTAACAAAATAATATATACAGGGTGTAACAGAAAGATATGACAAATATCATATACAGTGTCCCGTGAGGATATACCCATTAGCCGTAGAGGAGGACCGCCGCCCGTACAAAAACCGTTTTTTTGCTATTTTACCTATTAACTAAAACATTGATTTAAAATCAGGAGATTAATAAAATTAAAATTCAATATTTTCAGAAAAATGAACTCTACATAATGGCTATCTTCAATTTTTTTTTACATAATGAATAAAAAAATATTTTTTTAAACTTTTTTACCGAAACATAAAATAAAATTAAAATATGAATCATTTGTAGTGCTTCTCTCTGTGAGTCTTAGTAAAAAATCACAATTATGATGCCTACATTATTTCAGGAGATATCACAGTGAGTAAATCCTCACGGGACACTATATATCATATATCATATGTCATAGGTATCTTTTTGTTACACCAAGTATATGGGAAAAATGGTTTAAAAGCTTTTTAATTTTAACATTCAATTTTTCTTTTTTTCTTTCATTTAGTTATACGCTTTACAGTGGGTGGTGGTGGTGTCGTGAATGCATTTCAATAAAATAATATGTTTCTCTATAATATTTCAACCTGAATTCTCAATAAATAAATTATGTTTTTGTAGGTTAAATCAATTAGCGCTCGGACTTGGCCGCCGTCAACAACTGATGTCTGCCCTATTACAGCCGGAAATAACTCGGTATGTAATTCGGTACTTATTTTTCACTTTCTTAATTTTTTCTCTCTTCACTACCTCACCTATTATATAGAAATACTCAACTAATTATTTATTGTTAAAAGCTCACACCTTAAATTATTTTTGATTTTATAATTTTGTCGCCATAAAAGAAATAGCATTTTTAAATTTTTATTTAATATAAACAATTTTTATAATCTAACTGTCATTCCTCAGTTGGTAATTCAAACAATCCAATGTTTTATTTCATGTTATTGCAGACTAAAATTAATGTTGATATATTTATAAATAATAATTAAAAATTAAGTACATCCCTTTCATTTGGATTGAAATTATTTTAAAATTACTAGTCCAGCTGTTAATATGTTGGATCATATTATAATTTAATACAATTTGATGCTTTATTTAATTTAAAATTTAATAAAAATATTGACTACACGTTTTACTCTATGTGTTATAATAAAAAAAGTATTTGAGTTCAATGGTGTGTTTTATTTTTATTACGATTAATATTAAGTTATGGGCTATATAATATATATATCAGTAAAACAACAGTTTTTATTTTATTTTTTATTGGATTTTCAGCTTCGAACAATGCCTCATGGCACCAGTTTGTTGAACAGTGAAACACATGTTGTGCCACCAGCCAACCCAGCTCCAATAATTTAGTAAGTGCAACCAAAATAATACAAATAATCAATATTGTAAGTACCTATCTAAAAATAGAATAATAATTATTTTTTCTTTTAGTAATCCTGTTCCATGCCCCAGCGCTTTACCTATTAGGCAATCTGTGCCAAATATGCTCAGTCCAATGACCAATAACAATTTTGTTATGTCCCATTCAAGTCAAATGCAACAATTATTCGCTCAGCATACTAGAATGATTAGTCAAACCTATCTACAACAGTTACAACAACAACAACAACAGCAACAAATACGACGCTATCAACAGCAGCAACAAATAATTATTGCTACTCAGCGGTCATATTATAGTCGCCAACCTGTGAATGGTCGTTTAAGGAACACTCAACAACGCAACGCATTGAGGAATATTCCGTCCACCTCAACTGCTCCTGTCATCGATACCATTGACTTATCGTCGTCTCCACCGCCAAGCACTGTTTCTTCATCTGAGCAAGCTAATTCTAGACAGGAATCGTCGAGAAGACTTGAACAGCCGAGAAGACTTGAACAGCCGAGAAGACTTGAACAGCCGCAAAGAAATGGCACATCAAACAATGCTGCATACAAGGTAACAATGTTTAATATTTTGATACTTAATGAAATCATTTTGGCCCAGAATAAAATAATATTATTTTTCAAACCTTTATAAAATATAGAGCATTGATACCCTTATATTTAAAAACAAGTAAACATTTTTTCACAAATATAGCACAGGAATTAACTTTAGGAAATTTTGTAGAACATTTATAAGTTGATTATGTTCATTGTTCATTAAATAAACATAAGATACTATGCTTTAAACATTAAATTAATAGTATCATAATTTTTTGACTATGTTTGCATTTATGTAACCATTCATATTAATGGATATGTATTAGTTTTTCTAGACCAATAATTTACATTTGTGTAGTTTTTCTGTCAACTAAATATGTGTTCATTATTTTTATACATTGTAACAAAGTTATTATTTTTTTTTTGACTTAATATTTTTGAACTTCTTACAATAATTGTATCAATACTTATTATTTGACCAATCGCAATATATCAATAAATAACAGGCCTATATGTTTTCAAATTAAGTGCAGAAGGTTATTGAAACAAGCAGCTACTACCTATTTAGACTTATTTGAATACTGAAAATATTTTTTTTAACTATTATAATATGTGTATTATACTTAAGCATGTTTGTATTTGATAAATAAATAATAATTATAAATATAAATATATATTTGACACAGATCCAAAAGGTAATAGTGCAAGGAAAAATCCTGCATTGCATAAACGCCAAACCTTACATATATGCAGATTGGTTGGTGATAATCGACGATCTAGTAGAGACATTGTTGCCCACCACCACTGTCGCGAGTTGCGCTCATGCTTTAAGCAGATACTTAAATACGTCGATATTCTGTGGAAACTCGTAAGTGTCTCTTATCCTCCTCATTTTAATCATCACTGTACTCCTGCTACTCTACTAACTATGTTCGGAAGAGGTTAATAAATTCATGTGTTTGACAGGGAACAGTTGGCCGTGTTGCTGGCAAACGGACATCACAGGTCGGTGTACCAGAATGGCACACCGTTCGTTTCGCTGAATGATATCCTGCGTGTTTTCCAGCAGTTAAAGGCATTGTTGAATGGAAATACACAACAATACCAATCTTGGGGGGCTGGCCCGTCCCAGCGTCGACGCAACAATTAAGAATGGACCGGGTGCGGCAGAAGCCGAGCCGACTGGCCGAAGCCGTTGGCGGGCAGCATCAGCAGCAGCAGTAGCAACGGCGTTGACCTTCCACTCCATCAGCCACCCCCGCCGCCGCCAATAGTCGGTACTCGCCGACAGCAACAATTGGCTAAACTTCGGTTAGGAACGATACGAAATAGCTACCAGAGCCGAAACAATTGGCACCCGCCCCCGCCCTTCTGGCGAACAACTAATAATTATAAGTAATCCGTGCAAAAAAGTACCAATCTTATTTTGAAAAGAAATCTTTTTTATTTTAAAAATGTTTTTGTTTTATGCTTAAGTTATGTTGTAATAATTAGTATAATGTTCGGTTTAAAATGCATGCACTTATTATGATGTACAGTTCACTTTTTATTCAGTAAAAATATTTATTGACGATGTCAATCGAAATATTGAGCCTACCTACCCAGGAAAAAAATGTTAAGACTAATGTCTAACTGATGTGGTTAGGTGTTTTGTTCCCATAAATAGTAGGTGTACATGGTGCATACGTCACATGTACAAATAACAATATTATTCATGATTCCGTATCGTGTATATAGTTTATAATAATTTACTATTACAATTATTTTATATCCGTATTTACTATTTAAATGTCATGATAATTTTAGTTTTTTTTCCATTAAATAATTATTTCTTTTTTTTTTTGCATTTACTTTAAGTATTAATTATAATTTAAGTTGTTTAATATACAATGAACACTTTTAAAATAGTAGTAAGTTGACTATGTTTTGTCCATATTTAAATTTTGTATTGAATAATAAAATATTGAAATTTTTTTTTTCAATGATTGTTGTTTAATTTTGTACTAAAAAAACAAAATAGAAATCTCTTGGTTTTTTATTAGCAGTTATTACAGATTATGTTTACCTACCTAATATAATACTATATCACAAATTGGGCTTAAAACCAATTCCTAACGCAATATTCGATTTAGCTATAGTTCTGGGAATTAATGCACAAAACCGTGCGCATCAAGTGGAGTACAAATGCACGATGACGATTATATGTATAAATAATTTTTTAAATGTATAATAAAATCAAACAATATACATCTGAAGGAGAATACTTAAGAAAGCATAAGACTGAAATCACACGTCATTTGAAGTGAACTGTATAACTCCGCCGTAGCATGTATTGGGACGGACAGTAAGCATAGGCGTAAATTGAGGGGGGGCTTAGTCACTACCCCCAAAAAATCTAGGACATACAATTTCAAAATCCTACATTGTAAATGTGTACAGTTAGTAATTTTAATAATATTATAATATATATGATAATATTATAAAAATTAAAAATTAAATACATTTTTAACTACAAAATCATTTTTCAATTTTTAATTTCATAAAATGTTGTCAAAATTTGAACTTTAAATGTTTATAAAAAACATGTAAAATAGGTATTTTTAATATTTTTCAACTGTTATTGAACCAATATATCTATTATCAAGAGTCTTGTATTAAACTTGCACGCTTTTTGACCAAACTAATAACATTTTATTGACATTTATAGAAAAAAGAATGAAAAAAAAATGAAAATTGAAAATGTCAGTCAACTGATTAAAACAAGTCGAATTATTTTTGAAAACCTTATGAAGTATATGAATTGATAAAATACGTAAAATTTGTACAAAATTACATATTAACACAAAAAATAACGATTTTTGTCATTTTGTCGTAACTCGTAATTCAGTTCCAAAACAGTCCAATTTTACGTAAGTATATTATTTAATATTTTACCAGCATCATCGATAATTTAAGGATAATATTAATTCAACTTACCGTCTACTACCTTATTAATATCGTAAGTAATAACAATACAAAATATCCTAGACTGACACACAGTCTCTGTTTAAAATCGTTTTTCGTATACAATAATAATTTATCATTGAATTGAAATTGAATACCTACCATCCAAATGACACCAAATGTACAGCAGAGCGACATCCTTTTTTTTATACTTACACAATATTATATATTATGAGACGCCCGTGTTAATTATAAAATATAAATCACCTCTGATATTATAGAAATAAATGTATAATTTTGACCTTAAATGATTGGGAATTATTATTACAATGTTTTATTATTGCAATCACTTATCGCGATAGTATATACTAAATATATACGTATTTAGGTAAATACAATATGTATTTTTGAGGCCTAAGAATTTTGTATGATAAGTAAGTGTACGGTATTTTAGTAAAAAAAAAGTGTTATCAAATTATGAAGTAATATTATAAATTTATAAGGTAAGATAATATGAATGGTGATTTGTGGTGGCCAAGGCCCCCCGCGGGTCTGCTTACCGTTTATATATTCAGCCCCCACAATAAGTCTAAAGTTGAAATTGCGAAAATGACAGTAAGCCTGATGGACGTCATGTGTGTGACTATCGACTATAATAACTACTAATTACTAAGGATAGGGAGTTGTAGGAGTTGAATATTATTCAATATGCTCTCGAGACCAAGCTAGGATTCCGGGCTGTATGCACAATGGTGAGTTTAAAAAACCAAAAATGTATAATGTAGGCAATTTTATTGAAAAAAATGCATATTCTTAAAATCTTAACTTTCATATAGCGACATTTTTTTATACTATGTATATTAAATTTTTGCTTCATATCATATTTTATATTTTTTTTGTAGATGTTGAATGCATATTATTACAATATAAATCATTGGCGTAGTAGCCAACCAGTCGAGTTCGAATAGTAAAGTAGAGAAAACAATCATCTCTACATTTTTAAGTAATATATTATTAATTTGATTTACTATAGGTATAAATGTACCTATAGATATTAGATACCTACCTACCTTATAGATAAATCATAATAATTCAATAATTTCAACTCTTACTCCGCTACTCCTGTGATCTTCAATATACTATCCTTAAGAACAGTTTTACTCAGGCGATAGTGTACTATATATTATTGTTACTATTTAAACATTTAATAAATCTTGTATACGTTGCTATATCGTGTTCAATTGTGTTAGTCTATGAACGCAGGTCATACGTTTCTAGGACCTGTAAAATATAACTTAGAAACTTTATTTGTATCAATTCAACAATCCGGTTCACAAGATCGGTTCTTGAGTGGGAATGGCTAACCAACTACTCCTTAACTGCATTGAATTAGGAATAAATATCGACAGCCACTTGAGTTTAAATAAACGAGGTAGGCGTGTTGCGCCCTTAAATAGTTTTGTTCGGAATCTGTCATTATTTTTTTTTTAATTTAAATAAATATTATGTGTTTTGATTGCCAAAAGTGTACCTAAACTTTAGTACAAACTTTTCATTTTATCTGGAATTAAAGAGAAAACTAATGGTACTACCAAATTAATATGTTTTAGAACATAATATACTTTTGCAAATAATGGAGGATAAGATTACCCAAAAAGTTTCTATCTGATCCAAATCAATGATCAGATTTATCCAATAAATATAAATTGTTTTCCGTAGGAACTAGGAAACACAAAAACCCGATTTACAACTAATTCAATATAATTTATTAGAAATTGATAACCATCAATAGTTTGGGAATATTTATCGGGTATTGTTATATCTGTGATAGTAAATGGGTTAGACGGAGCAGAACTATTAATTTGTCGTAATGGTATGGTATATGATTATATATATATATTGTTTATCGATACTCAATATAGGTATACACTTATTTGGCTTCAATTGGAACCACTGGTCTTCTCCGATAAGACGTTATTCCATGTATTTATTATAAATATAATAATTAAGGCTCAAAAGTTATATTAGATAAAAAAAAAAAGAAAAATATGCATGTTCATATGCACAAATTGTGTCAAATGTGCACAAAAAATTATTAAAAATAAAAATAATATAAATTTTAACTATTTAATATTAAACTATTCAAAATTCGAAGAAAACTATTTTATGTTGTTATTAACTTACACTAAAAGAATTTGAAAATATGGAAAAATAAATGTATAGTACTTATAAATATGGTAGAAAACTGGTTGCCATTTTGACATTTTCTTTAACAGAAAAAAATATATTCGAAAAGATAGTATATCGGAATATTTTAGCGATAAAGATTACATGCACCAAGCACCACTGTGGCGCTGTTGTTAAATTAATAGTCAACTGCGATGATAACAATAAATACCTACATTAAATAATATTGATTTTTATATTCAATATTATTAAATACACAGCTTAAAAAATAAAAAGGTCAATTGTTTAGAAAACATTAAATATACACAATATGCTAATATGAAAATCCAGAAATATTCACTTTTTCCCTGAATTTGGCAAAATATGCATATTATGTATTTTAAATTAAACATTTTTAAACTCAACATTGAACAGCTTGGATTTCTAGCATGGTCTGCTGGTAATTGAGAGTATACAGAATAATATGCAACTCCTATAATACGGCTACAACTTCCTAGCAATACTGAAAACTGACAAACACACATAGTGGGGTCACACAAAGGTTATCGTTATTGTAAGTTAATCGTATAACATCTAAAATGTTATGGTGGGCATTGGCATAGTATGATCAGGGCCGTCTTAGGCTTTGCAGGAGCCCATGGACACCCGAAGCTTAAGGGGCCCTTTTAGTAGGCCCACACAAGTTGAATAAAAACATCAAAAGCTTGTTTAGTATGATTACTTTATTAGTTGATAAACGTTATGTACATTTTACAGAATTAGAAATGGTGTTTTACTGTTATAACTTTCAACAATGAAACTTAGCTTATGCGTATCGCTAAGTGAGCAACGGGTTTTTTTGAGATTTGTGTTGTGTAAAATCTTTAATTATTTCTTCGAAGTCCAGTTTTTGAAGGTTACTTCACATCATTTTCTATGCACATTAATGACAAATTGGTGAGCTACCTATCAAAAGTAGGACCAGTTTCTAGACTTTCAAATTTAGAGGTACCTATTGACATGACGAGGTCGAAAATTCTGTCTGCCTGTTAGTTTCTTCGAGTGTAAAAAATGAAGTGACCTTAGGCAGTTTGCTGATTTTCTTTTTGAATCTCAAGTCTTTTTCTTTTTTCTGAACTACTCAAATACGTCCCTTTTAACTTAATTAAATGAGACTATAGCTTTATTACAGACACTAATAAAATATTATATTTTATATTTTATATTTTTGATATATTTCAATAAACTAAACGA